CTATATTAACATGTTTATACAAAGTTTTGGGAACACAAACACAATCTACACGCGCGAATTTAAGTTGGCGCCAGAGCTGGTACTTCCTTCGCTCAGCTTTTAAGCATCATAATACGGAGAGAAAATTCTGTCTACATTAAGTACTCCGTCAAACTTTTTAAATTAATTTTTATTTTATTTATTTTGATGTACAGCGTAGGTTAAGTTTTTATGGTCAGTTATGAATAGCATAGTATCTTTTTATTACTATTCAACCCAAATTAAAAAATCCGTCTGACATTTTTAAGGTAGCATGGTTCTGACTGATACGTTTTATTTATTTTTGTAAATAACATTCGGTGTTAGGAAATAAAGACCTTATTATATTAAGCTGGTTATTCATTAAAATGTTAATTACTCTACCATGTTCGTGACTTGAGACATTAACAATACACGACTGAGATGAAGCATCGACATCCCTAAAATCTGACGTATTTATATCACACTCCATTGAATTATTCTCAGAACGGGTTACATCTTCAGAGGAAAATGTTCTCGATTTATGTATTTTATTATTTATTTTTCCTTTACTGTGTGCCTACATTGGAAGCTGGTAAGTTTTTAAACCTTTTAATGCTTCCTTATATAGAAAAATGTAAATCATTACATAGCGATAGACATTACATGGTTATTGATTAATAATTGTAATAATTGATTTAAAATTTAAATGTATTAAGAATTTTAAAATAATTTAAGATTATTTAGTGACTATATATCCTATACAATTTGTTACTTTTATTGAACTAGCTTTAACAATTTTAACTAAACATTCATAATTAAGAACCCGTTGTGTGTGTCACATGACTGACTTATAAAAATCAATATTTTTAATTATGATAATTGTATAATTATCAATTTTTCATAGTGTCTTTTGGCTACTATTGTTAACCTCTTCGGCCTTTAGTAAAAAAACATTTTTTATGATTTAATAAATAAATATTATTTTATTTGTTTATTTCCTTATTTTCTATATTTACAGGTTAATAATATTGTAAATATACCCTGTTTAAAATATTATTAACCTACATAGTAATAATAATAATAATCATAAAGTTATAAATAGAAAATTAAAACAAATTTAAAAAGTTTGGTCTCTGTGGCAGTGTACCTTTAATAGCAGCATTTCCTCGCTGTCTTGCGATACCTTTTCTTTAAGTGAGGAAAGCACCAGCTCTGGGATCAAATTAAATAATTAATAAATTAATGTTAATTAGGCCCAATAGAATGCCTCAGCTCAGATGAGCACCTGCAATGCGTGTCCCCATGCCCCACGGGTGAAGTCGAGTGCGTCAATGGTGAAATACGCCGAAGTTGCTTAAATTCGACAGAACCTTGTACAATGCAATGTGTTTGCAAGCCAGGCTTCTACCGGAGCTACCTTGGTGAATGCCTACCTGAAGAAAACTGTGGTATGAAATTTTTAAACTCATATGTGCCTTTGAAAGGCCGGCAACGTACCCTAAAATGGGTTCCATGGGCTGCCATGAATGCCCTTTTTGGGGCTGTTTTGTTTCTTTTGCTTGGGTTAGACGAATTTTGAATTTGATTATATTTTTTCCAATAATATTTATTATTTACGCCCTCAACTTTATGATTTCTTAGTGAGTGTTTGTGCGTATTGTGAACAATTTTCAAAGCAAACTATTAGTAGAATATTATCAGTCTAACCGCTCTTATTGTTTCCATACTAATTTTCTCCTTATCGTTACGACTTTTATGTGCCTTTCTTTATGTTAAGAATATATCGAAACAAAGTTTGTACTCAGGGCTTATTCTTTTAAGATAAAATTCTGTATCAACGGCTAGAGAACCGTTCTTTGTGGTAGATATACTTACATTATATGAACGAACATTATAAGAACGGTTCTGTACAGATGTATGAAAGTCAGATTTAGCGGCCGATACATTGTTGTCGATTTGGATTAACGATCTCGTGACGTTTTGGTGATAAAAAACAACTTTACTACTATAATATGATTCACAATGCTTTAAAAAAACGTTTTAAGCGCCGATCTGATACCTAACCCGCGTTGTTTAACAAAAAAATACTACACAAATCTAAAATTGGAAGTGTACTTATTATCATTCATGTTTACCTTAATTATCATGTATTGACGTGACAACGTCTTATAATTGGATGGAGCCGGCTGCACGCACGAAAAAACATGACGCATGCGGCGTTACCTTGCTCTGAGGCGTTCCATTTAAGGCTTGAAGTGCGAGCGAGAGCGCGGAACGAGCGACAAAGAGGCACAATCGGTCTCCGCGTTCGTTCGTTAAAAAATTGACATAATTGTATTTATGCGTACAAATAAATGTAACTTGATCAATTCAATTGTGATTGTCCATTGACCTCCTTCTCTACATCCATACAAAATTTCTATCAAACAAATAAAATTAAAATTTTCTTTTGAAAAATGCAACCATTCCATCAGTATTTTCTTATGACGTTGTCACGTTCAACTATCGTAAACATAATACAGACAACCGTTTGTTTTTTTGAATACGAGTATATAGTTTGTAACATATACTGCAGTTACAGAATTATATTATGTGTTGAACTTTAATCGATAATTACGATTTCTACTTATAGGTAAATGTGGTAATCATGAGTTCTTTTCCTGCGGACCCGAATGCGACAACGAATGCTCAACGTTGCACGAAATGAATCGAACGAATTGTCCTATTTTAAATATTGTATGCAATGAAAAGTGTTATTGTGAAGATGGGTTTGCCAGAAATTATGCACGAGAATGTATACCAGTAGAAGAATGTCCCAACTGTAAGCATAAGTTTAAGACATTTTAATGTAATTGGCATACAGCCCTGCGATTCTGTAACTCACTTTTCGAACTCACACAGCGGTTTTCGCATCGGCGGTCGCTCTCAAATCAGTCGTGAAGCAGTCTGTGTGAGTTCGAAAAGTGAGTTACAGAATCGCAAGGCAGTATGCGACTGATAATTGAATTGCGTTGAACAAGTAAAATTATATCGAGATTGAGGTTGGATATTATAATGAGGAAAAATCATTTATGTTTGTAACGAAAACCTCAAAAAATGCTGGTCTGATTTCAAAAATGATTTCCCTACTACATTATCCTTTTGTAACATAGGAAATATTCATTTAAAACAATAAATATCGAGCCTTTAACTTTAATTGTTATTAGACCCAAAAAAAGTCACTGAGTCACAAATGATTTACAGAATGCATGTAGTAATATAATCGGTTTTTATTTTTTTTAAGTGGTTCATAGCCATGCGCCTTCTTAATATTACTTGGGGTACTACATACAGGTCGTAAAGAACGATAGAAAAAATTTGAGCTGTTTCAAGGAGACAAATTTGATTACAAAAATTATAATTTAATTTTGATAGCTCTATATCGAACGATAAGTTTCTGGTTTGAACAAATAATATGCAATAATAATTTACCCAATACTTTACCAAGTTAATTATATATAATCTATCAAAGGGAAAAGATTTGAAAGCAAAATTGTCAAAGGAGATTGTACAGAAATAATATTGATAATTTTTTCAGCATACAATCGGGATATGAGAAGTCCGAAAAGTCATATACATCGTGGTAAGTATCGAAAAATTTAAGTTTTACTTTTTTACGTTTTTTTAATTAAATTCGATATTTTTTCGTGTTTATTCCGTTGCTTATACAACATTTGAAGAATAATAACATCATATTCTTTAAAACTCTTCTCTCTTTTCAATAATAAGTTATATCATGTAGTAGTTTTTTGCTAAAATTTATTTCGGGCGTCTTAGGTCAGATAACCTAAAATTAATAAAAAGAGCGGTCTTTTGAGTAGTACTAAAGTTGGTAACTTGAAACTTTACGAAAATGTATGTTCTTATTTATTATTATTGTAAATATCTATTCATTAATTTCATTCCCCTTTGCAGAGCCATTGTTATGTCCACCAAACGAAGAATATGCTTTGTGTAAGAAATCCTGCCCACCCGATACCTGTATATCTCTTGTTGCAAGGTTCAAATGCGATTCTAGAGAGGAATGTATACCCGGCTGTGCCTGCAAATCTGGTTTCTTGAGAAGAAATGCTGACGGACCTTGCATGCCTATTCGCGAATGTCCCGAACTAGCATCATCACCAGATTTCTTATAAATAATTCTATGTTTTTAATATCCTTAATAAATTGTTCTTTTATCTTCGTAAAGTATATAAGCTTCGTCCCAGCAGTGAGGCACGCGAAACGTCATCAAAATCATTGTTAAATTGTGGTAATTAAATGAGTTTTAAATATGTAATGTTTTTATTTTTAAATGTAAAACTTATATTTAGTCTTTATATATCCAATCATAGCTATTCGAGTACTTCATATATTATACATGCCGAAGGCTTACATAAACATTAGCAAAAATACCTTTTTTTGCTGCTTGCTGGAGTTATAATATAACCTAACATTAGTTAAGATATATATATTTTAGTTAATATTTAAAGCGTAAACAAAATGTAAAAATATCGCACACTTGAAGCCAATGTGAGCCATTTAGTTTTTACCTCACTCATAAATTGTATTTTAACATTCTCGGTTCCGATAATGTCCAATAACATAAGTGTCCCTTAGATTTACGAACTCTTCAATAAGTCAAGATAGTTTTTTATTAATCCAGCGTCGCAACCCCACTACCCCTAATGTTATCTTAGTTATAACCAGCTTCAAACAAAGTGTTTAATTTGAACTTATCCATACAACAACCGCCAACGAACTTTATTCTAGTTTTTACGAAATTTATATCGCCCAGCACGACCTGTATAGACAGCTTTTATTAAGTAAATCTAGGAAATATTTTTGGTAACAATTTTGTTTCATTTATTTTATTTCCTTCTCTGTCTGTTTGCAGAACCATTATTATGCCCACCAAATGAAGAATACTCTAGGTGTAAGAGATCCTGCCCACCTGAGACATGTAAATCACTGGTTGCCTTCTATGATTGTGGCTCTGGAGAGAAATGCGAACCCGGTTGTGTATGCAAATCTGGTTTCCTGAGAAAAAATGTCGACGAACCGTGCACGCCTATTCGCGAATGTCCCCAACTTGCATCATCACCAGATTTCTTATAAATCTTATCATGTTCTTGATATACTTAATAAATTGTTCTTTTATCTTCGTAAAGTATATTTAAAGCTTCGTCCCAGCAGTGAAGCACGCGATAAGTCGTCAAAATTATTGTTAAATTGTGAGAATTAAATGTTGATGTTTTTATTTTTAAATGTTCAACTTATATTAGGCCAGTAACTTGGCATATCATTCCAAGTATATAGCCTTTTTCCGTTATTGAGATTCATTCAGTTTTTTGAAAAATATGCCACTAGTTTGTTATTACCTTCCAGTTGTGTTTGTTTTAATATTGCCCCGATACCCTCTAAGGATGCATCTGTAAAGATTTTTATTACATAAATATCTCTTTATTTGATTAAATGATTCTTCACACTCTGACCACACAAACTTTTCGTTTTTTCTTAATAACTTATGTAATGGATCTAAGATAATTGCGCTCCTTGGTATGTATTCATGGTAAAAGTTAATTTTTCCCAAAATTGTCTGATATTCTTTTGTGTCTTCGGAGTTGGAAAATGTCTTATCGAAATCAAATTGTCTTTTAATGGTCTTACCGAGTTGTTTTGATTTACATGGCCAAGATACTTTACTGAGTCTGAAGCAAAGGTACACTTCATAAACTTCAATCTAAAGCCGTCTTTTATTATTGCCCCTAATACATTTTTTATGTGTCTTATATGGTCCTCAAAAGTAGAGGAGTAGATCAAAATGTCATCAACATAATTTACAGAGTATCCTGTCAGATTGTGCTTTCTTAGAATATTACTTCAAACTCTTCGGAAAATTGCTGGTGATGTTTTTAAACCAAAAGGATGGCAGGTCCACTGAAAATGGCCATCTTGTGTGACAAATCCTGTTTTATATCTATCTTCCACCCGTAGTGGTATGGCCCAAAATGCTGAGTTTATATCAAGTGTAGTAAAATACTTACAATTTCTAGTCTTAATAATTAAATCATCTATTAATGGGAAAGGTTGAGCTTGTGGTACAACAATTTTGTTAAGTTCTCTAAAATGTAGACATAATCGAGATTTTCTATTTTCACCTTTTTTAAATGCTAATGTCACTGGTGCAGCAAAAGGACTGTAAGATTATTCTATTATTCTTTAGTAACCTGAATATTTGTTCATCGATTTCTAATTTATCTTCTATTGTACATCTGTATGGTCTTTTACTACAGTATGTATTTACAAGTAAATCTATGTGAGCTTCATAATCTTTAACTGATCCTATATCATACTTGTCCCTAGCAAAAATAGTTTTATATTTATTTATAACTTCTTCTATCTCAATTTTCTTTTCTTTATCTAAATGGTCTGTCTTACTACTATATTAAGATTATGATAATTAATTTGATTTAATTGGCATGCCCATTTTTATATGACTGATAGTGTGATTTTTTTATAATTAATAAAGCTAAATGCACCACTTTCTATGGAAATAATAGATTTATTATTATTAAGAGAAAAGACATTTACAAATTACTTGCAAGTCTGACCTAGTAACGTCAATCAAATTTATGGAAAATGTTTAAATAGATAATTTTCTTTACTAATAATTATGTATAGGTATACCATAAATAATTATTTCATGGACTAATGTTTCATAACCATAAATTCACTAATGTAGGACGATTTTTGTGACAATTTAGGTAATCGCTACGCTTAATAAAATTTATTATAATTATGTTGATTTCAGAATAATTATACACGTGGTATTAATAAACTTACCAAGGCCAGAAGTAATTAGAAGAAATAGGGCGAAGAGAAGCTGCCGTCTGGCCATGTTGACTTCTTCTTACTGATAATGCGTGATCTGGGTTTGATCAACTGGCTCAATATATTTCAGACCGCTAGTTAAACGGCGCTGTTTATTTAAAATGCCAGACTGTTGGTTTCACAGCTGTTTTAGAGGACATGGCCTGCTCTAAACGTCACGGCGACATTGAGTCTCTTAAAAAATCTTTGGAGCAAGCAGTGGCGAAATTTCCCTTGGAAACAGTGCATAAGTTCATAGATTCGTGGCCAAACAAATTAAAGGCCTGTATAAAAGCCAAAGGTGGCTATTTCAAATAGAATATTTTTTTATTTTTTTATTAGACTTGAATAAATATGTAGGGATACATTTTAATAATATTATATTACTTCACTAAAAAAAATGCATTTTCATTTGTAACAGAACTTATGGCGGAACTAGGTTTATATTATATACGTATATGTACCATAACTAACACAACTAATATTTATACTAAGAAATCTAAGCTAAAGAATTATTGTATGTCTAATTTAAAAATTCTATAATAATAATAAATGTCTATAAGAAAGAATGATACAAAGAATGCAATAATTTGAAATAGGAATTCAATTAAAACAAAGTATTCGTTATATTCATTTCGCTTAAAAATATGAACATTCAGTAAAATCATTTTAAATTATTATATTCCTGGACAATCCTCTATCGGTATACAATTTCCTCTGCCATTCCTTGCAAAGCCACCAATGCAGTAACAGGTATTCTTGCATTGAACATTTATAATTGGACACATTTCACCTAATGTGGAACATTCTGTTTGGCATGCCGGACCGCATCTATATTCTTCATTTTTCCTGTTACAATCGAGCGCTGAAAGAAATGTGTAATGTTATACAACTAGGGGACTAAGATGTTTATTACGATGTATTAAAAAAAATGTAACGCCATGGCTAACAAGCATAACAAGCTATTTAATCACCAGAAGTTATACCACTGCCGTGTAATGCTTTCTAGGGGAAGGTGATTACATTTGCAAGGTGCCTTAAAAGCGTGGGAGAGTATTTAGACCAAAAGTTTCGACAATAATTATATAATATTATTATTGTGATAATTAAATTGAGATTGGCATGCCTATTTTTATGACTGATAGTGCGGTTATTTTTATAATTAATCAAGCTAAATGCACCACTTTCTATGCAAATAATAGATTTATTATTATTAAGAGAAAATTTATCTACAAATTTGTATGGAAAATGTTTAAATAGAGTCTTTACCAATAATTATGTAGGTATATCATAAATCAGTATTTAGTGAACTAAAGTTTAATATAACCATTAATTCACTAATGTAGGACGATTTTTGTGACGATTTAGGTAATCGCTACGCGTAATAAAATTAATATAATTATGTTAATTGAAATTAACATAATAAATATACACGCTGGTATTAATAAACTTACCAAGGCCAGAAGTAATTAGAAGAAATAGAGCGAAGGGAAGCTGCCGACCGGCCATGTTGACTTCTTACTCATAATGTGTTTCTCGTTTTTGTGAAATGTTCACTGAAGTCTGTATTTATTAAAAATATAAACCTTTAATACCTACAAAATAGAACTCGCGCGAACAACGTCGCGTCGCGTCGGTCAACAATAAACTTTTATAATAGAATTGCGTGAGTAATTGTTCATAATTTTGTAAGTAGTGATTGTACATGTCGGCGTTATGCCACAATTATCGTGACCAGACACCATTTTAATAAAAACGCATGTCATAACGCTTGGTTTATTTATGACGGAGAGATTAGTGACAAGGAGCGACCTGAACAATGTCTAGAATGCACGGCCTGAATTTTTAACAAAAGCAGGACCCGTCGATGAACTGTTGAAGATAATGACGTCAGCACTACTGACGTCATAAATTAGTTTGTTTTATTAACAAAACGTATATATAAAAATAAAATAAATATGTATATTATTTTAAGTAGTAATACTTAGTCATCTTCATTACATTAGGAGTGCCTGATACAAAAGGCCTTAATCGGTTTTTGTATTTTTAAAAACGTAATTGCCTTACTATTTGAGCAGGCCCTAAATAATTTAAGGTTTCATATTATTACTTATTTCTATATTTAAAAAAAATGTACATCAATATAACATATCTGTATTATTTTGTTAGTAGAAATTGATTGTGATATAATTTGACAAATAAATGTTCGTTAGACATTATAGGCAAAATATTTATACAAGGTTTAAAAACTAAGACTTTCTGATAAGTTTATACCTAATGTAAAAATAAAATAAATTTCTTATTTTAAGTGGTAATACTTTCTGTCATCTTCACTTATTACATTAGGAGCGCCTGATAGTGGATCCTTGCCATCATGGGATTTTGGAAAAGCAATTACATCTCTTATTGACTCTGCATTACAAGCAATGGAAACTAATCGATCAATCCCAAGAGCTATTCCTCCATGAGGTGGACATCCACTCCTTAAAGCATCTAAGAAATGGCTCAGTTTACTTGAGTCTATTTTTAAAATCTTTAGAATTTTTTCTTGTAACCTTGCATTATGAATTCTAATTGAACCCCCTCCAACTTCATTTCCATTTAGAACTAAATCATAAGCCAAAGATCTAACATTTTCAGGATCTGTATCTAGTAGATGCACATCATCAGGATGTGGAGCGGTAAAGGGATGGTGACATGTCTCCAAGCCGTTTTCGCCTTTAATAAACAAAGGAAAGTCAACCACCCACAACGGTTTCATTGTATTGTCTACATGTAATAATTGTTTAGATTCCAGTAAGGGTGCAAGAAACTGGCGAATTTCACCTAAACACAAACATACATTTTCTTCTTCTCCAACTGCTAGAATTCCTGCATTTTCAACACCTATTACATTTTTTATCTTACTAGTAACTTCATTACCAAACTCTTTCATCAAATATTCGTCCAAAACAACTTTCACGCTGTATTTCTTTTGTAATTCCTTTACCTTCTCTTTATATTTAGCAGTTAATTTACCCAATTTGTTTGAAAATGGAATGGCATAGACAGTATGATTTTCATTAAATAGGTAGGAGATATTTTTTAATCTTAAATCATATGTTACATTTGGCTTGTCACTACCATAGTTTTCAATAGCTTCCTTATATGTCATTCTGTGGAATGGAGGTTTTGGTAAGTCCTTAATGAATGTATCATGTAATAAGTTTTCAATCATAGCTAAAATTCCATCTAATGTTGTGAAGGATAACTCAATATCAAGTTGGGTGAACTCTGGCTGCCTATCAGGTCTTGTACTTTCATCTCTGTAACATCTTGCCACTTGAAAGTACCTATCAACACCACCAGACATTAACATTTGTTTAAACTGTTGTGGGCTTTGAACTAATGAATAAAATAAACCAGAATGATGGGTAGGCACAATAAATTCTCGTGCACCTCCTGGAGTCCGGCAAAACAATGTGGGTGTTTCAACTTCACAAAAGTTATGCCTTTCAATGAGAAAACGTCGCATATTATGCAACATTAGTGATCTCTGTCTCAAGTTATACTGCATTTCTGGAAACCTTAAGTCAATGTAGCGATGTTGAAGCCTAAGCTGTTCTTTAGGCTTCTGGTACTCACGTAAATTAAAAGGAAGTTTCTCAACATGATTTAAAATTTCTATATTTTCTATAGATACTTCAATTTCTCCAGTTTTCATGTTAGGATTTGAAGTATTTTCGGGCCGAGGAACAACTGTTCCATATATTTTTACAATGGTTTCAAGTGGAATATCAGTTACACTAACATTAGAATCATTTATTGTACATTGTGTAAGTCCGTAGGAATCTCTTAGGAGAAGAAACTTTGATAAGCGTATAAATTGAACCCAACCACATAAAATAACCTTTTCGCCTTTATTAGAAGGCCGTAATTCGCCGCAAGTATGCGTTCTATAAGTGAATGAGCAGCTTTCCTGAGTTTTATCTATTAAGTCTGGTTTCGTATCATAACTGCCAATACATAAAAACCTGGAACTGGTATGTTTAAGATTGAAATCAATGTTTAAGGTTGCAGGCACTTTTCGAAGGAATACAGAGGACCGTTCTCTATAAAAAAATGACTTTACAAAACCAGTAACTTTTCTTCGATACATTATGTATATTTCGTAAGTCCAGTGCCCATACTCCGGCGTCTCAGTACCTCTATTTTTGGAAACTTACAATTTTATCTTTCTATTCGTGATTTCACGCGATTGTTTGATTCAACTTTCAAGTTTGTTTTGGTAATTTGACTAATCGTAATTGGTTCAAATTTAAGCACAGATTACTTAATAATATACTCTTGAGTATACAGGGACAAAACCACAGATTAATCTCCGAGGAACCATAGGTTATAAATCATTGTCATATGTTTTTGTTATTATTACATAAAAATAGCCAATAACGAATGAGAGGATCTAAAATCTAAATGAAAATAGGTCCAATAACCAATTTAGGGATGATTGATATTACGAAAACGATGATTTTTGCATGAATAATTGACTAAGAAATAAAATACAGCGAAATGGTTCGAAATTGAAGAGCAGAACAAAGTATTATATTCCGATATTTTTATCAGCCTGACGAATGAATAGTAATTTTGGTAAAAACAAACAATAAATAATAATATATATTATTATTCATTGTTTGTTTAAATATATATTATTTATAAATTAATAGTAAAAAAAACACTGGTTCTCTCAACAATCTTTTGCAATTCAAAAATGTCTATATTATAAAATTAAATTTGCCAAATATTTATAGAGTTCCTAATCATAAAATGTTTATTAATGTATAAACAATATATTCTTATTACCCAAAGAAACAGTTGTCTGCTGTAAATCTCTGAGAATGACAGCGTTCGTCGTTATAGGGGTTGAAATTCAAGAATAAAACTATAGCATTATGGTTATATTTTTATTATAGAAAAAGTCATTTCCTTCACTCTGGATATACTCAAGTATAAACACAAGGAAGGAAGTAAGTATCAGAGGTAGCTTTACATAAGTAAATATTGCCTCTATGTACAACATATTATAACATTTTGAAATGTCTACACCAAGTCAAAACTAAATGAAGTCAAAGGAACTTAACATTAATATTCTATTAAACTTAGTAATTAAAGGTAAACTTTCAAAAATCAACAAGTTGCATGTTTCAATGGCAACACTAAAAACAATTCATACAATTGCTTAGACGGTTAAAGATTTCAAACATAGCAACTATTATAGGAAATACAAATTATTACATCAATAATAAATTGAGATTTCAAATTAATTAAACATAAGTCAAAAACATCTTGAAAACTGGTAATAAAAGCACAGCTATGTATTAAAACAGTTTTCAAGTCTACCATGTAGCGGGAACTGTTACTGGTGTAGGTGGTGGTAGTGTGGGATAATACGCAGGCTGAGAGCAGTCCCAAGGCCCGATGTAGGTTTGAGGCAGCGACTGCAGTATTGGACGGTAGACTCGATTATCAGTCACTTGAAGGAGATCTACACCAAGTTGCTAAAATTTAATACATCACAACAAGTAGTAATTGTTACACCAACCCTCAATAAAGTCTAACATTAGCACTATGTCAAAAACATCTGAATCTTAACCCATAAACATGTTTGTTTCAAACAATAAAACCAGACTTAAAATTATAAAAAATATCAAATGGCATGTAAAAGACACGCAATTGTTGTGTATGTTCAAGATATTGGCGACTTTCATTTAGAAAATTAAATACGCAAGAATCAAGGACTTCCCAAGATACTGTGTCACTCCTAAATGGCCGGATACACTGATGAGCCTTCTAACAATACAATTGTCCATGGGTGACAGTGTCATAACATTAGGTGTGCCTCCAGGCCCTTTGGCCTCTTATTTTAATAAACAAAAGTCAAATCACAACATACCTTTAATGATTGTAAGGCTATAGCAGCAGCATAGACCCGAGCTTGTTGCAATGTTAAACATGGAACCGAGTAAAGCGGACCCAAGGATCTGGGAGGATGGAACAATGGACCTCCGACATGGGGCAGTTCTAATGCACACACATAATTTTCTTTTCCATTGGCATCAAAATATGAATGGAACTTGTAGGTAGGGCGAGCCCACATATATCTGTAATGAAAAACAATTTTATTAAATTTCTGCCTTGTCTTTTGCATAGAAGTCAATTAACCAATTTGTCAAGTGTACCTGCTGCAAGTAGATTCAAGGTTAGCTGGTGCAGTCATGAAGTCTTCTTGCATACACGGCGTACATTGAACTGGGGAACAACAATCTGGGGCATAGCTGGAACCGATTCCTTCATCTTTTGGGCAACTTGCGTATTCGTTCTTCTCGAGGTGCTGTTTATAAAGCAATAGGGTTTGAGATAAGTTAAGATTGGTATTAAACTTCGCATTGCCGCGCCTAAGCTTCTGTATGCGATAGAGATCACTATCCACCGGCTTAGCCCACTTTATTTCAACGTGGCTTCCGTCAATAATCACATTTCGTAATTTCTTAAAAGCTTCTACGGCGTCATTGCGCTCGTAGAAATGAATGAACGCATAATCACAAATTTTCTTGACTTTTTCTATTTTCTTATCGATTGCAGCTTCGATAGCCGCCTTTATTGTGTCGGGTGCAGTTCGAATTTTTAAATTACGGGCATATAACACTTTAACCTGTAATAATACTTTTATTAGCGTTATTTTTAAAACCTCTAAGTTTCGCCATTTTCTAGTATTTATGAAAAATACCCACGTACTTTCTTTCGTTTACCAGTTACGAATACAACAAAGTTGAAAGTCAAACTATTATATTTCGATTCGATGAAAGATTGCCCTGCTATGATTTATAAAATATTTAGTGGGTACCTACAAGTTTAGAAATAAATAAAAGCGCAACAAATGCACTGCGATAGTTAGGAAATTAAAACAAAATAAGCTAAACTTACCCGGCTCATTTCTTCGTCTTCAACCTCTGGTTCAGGCTCTGCCCAGTCCACCATGATATCTCTGTTCCACATTCGGACACATCCCGGGACCAGCACTCGTCGGGCCATAGCTGCTGCGCGATGGGAAACAAACTCCACAAAAGCATATCCTCTGTTTTGGTTTCGATTAAAACAGTTCTTATACATTATGACCCGGACCATTCCGGGTACACGATTACTTAATTCCTTGAAAACCTCCTCTTTCGTAGCATCCTTCGGAATATTTCCTATGTAAAGACGGCAGTTATCCACGGACTCCACAACTCCAATATGCCTCCGTGGCCTGATCTCAAAGTTGGCCAACTTTTTGATAGCAGCAACTGCTTCTGCTCTGGTAGCGTAGGTAACGAAGGCGTATCCTCTATTGGATCCAGAAAAATCCATCATAAGACGTAACTCATAGATTTTCCCGACCTTGGAAAAGATGGGCACTAGCTCGTCTTCAAATACATCGCGTGGTAATTTACCAACAAATACTTCGCAGCCTCGCGGCGGTGGAGGTCCAACCCAATCTGGCGGAGGGCCGAATATTCTCTGGCCATTTTTCTGGACTATTGGGTATCCAGTTTTCTCCATCACTTCTAATAAATTCACGGAATAATTGTTAGGACTCAGCATCGTCAATCACTAAGAATAAAACAACGCGACAGTTCTAAATCAAACTAAAACCTAAACAAAAATGAGCGGTTGGTCAAGAGGCGGCTTCTTTTTAAAGCCTTTGAGTTTTGCCGACAAAGTGTTCCGCACGGGGCTCACAGAGACGACAAAAATAGTTTTTAATCGTTCACTTACTTTTAGATCATTCTAAAACTTTATTTTTTCAGTAATATAAAATTTTCTAATATTAAATATTTTTTTTAATATCTTGATAATTATTAAGTAAAAATTTCGAATATTGCATTTTTTACTATAATAATACGGAAAATAAAGAACTTAGTTGCACGGAACACAAATGTGTTAACTGTACGAGTCTTTTAAAAATTAAGCAAGTTAGGTATAATATAAGAATTTCTATGATTATACCTAATTGTATATTTAGTTATTACATATTATAGAAAAATCAAGAAAACGTTATTAGTTTTTTTAAAGATATCCATAGATGTCTCTATTCAAAGTGAAGACTTCGCACTTTTTAAACTTTAGTTAACGTTTTTTGTTTTATAATATATACTAGTGTTTATAATATATAATATGTATACTAGTGTTGGCCTCTTGGCTTCCCATCCCTAAAGTTATAGGTTCGATCCCCCGCCGTTCACCAATGGACTTCCTATATGCTCATCTAATTCATAGGAAATCTGACGCAAGTACCCATTTATTACATTTTATACGGGACATCGGATATGTATTTTACAGTAATTTAAATAATCATACAAATTTAAAATTTATTATTGGTTTTCATTAACGGAAATGCACTCATTTATTAATTATTTAATAAAATCGAGTTAATGAAGTTTCATTTGAATTTTGAAGCATAATATTTAAAAACTTTCTTTCACTTATTGCAAATTAGGACTATTTCATATTAATAAGCGTTTTTTAATTATCCCATTGTTATTTGGTAACAATATATATGAAAATATTGTTTTCAGTTGAAGCTAAGGCATGACTTCACACTGAGATAGTACGGTCTCGGGCAGCGATATTTATTTTAGTATTTGGTATAAGCTGATCACGTACTTGTCTATGAAACGGATGGAATCTGAGGCCAAGCCTGTAAAATAGGCCTGTAACTGCACTGGGACTGGAGTATTAATGCTTTTTAAAAATGAAATGTCAGTGATGTCATTAAAATCAGTTTAATTTCGTGATTTTTTTGTGGAACTGGGGGCAAACGGGCAGGAGGCTCATCTGATGTTAAGTGATATCGCCGCCCATGGACACTATGCAAGAGGGCTCGAAAGTGCGTTGCCGGCCTTTTAAGAATTGGTATGCTTTTTTCGTGCTTTCCAAAACATTAACGCTATTTAAATTTTGCTTATATGTTAAGGGGTTATATAAATAAATAAAAAATGGTTTATATATTTAATAATCACAGTTTAAAATCAAATATACAAACATGACAATAACATATAATTCTTATTTACACTTAGAGAAACATATTCCTTTTGCGAGGCATAAATAAAACGAAACATTCATGACGCGATTTTTTTTATATGTTGGAATTAACAAATTTATTTTTATGTGTCAATAGATGGTAGAAAACACAAGTTAATAAAAAAAAATCTCAATGTTGTAGTTAAGATTAAATTTTTATGCGATACAAGCATATGAAGGCACCGCAAGCGAACCGCAATCACATAGACAATGATTCATTTTACATATTATTTCTATATTCTGGTTTATAAAAATATGTGCGTGTTTTTAATTAAACACATAGACTGGACCGATTTTGATGATTTTTTGTGTGAATTTGATAGGTTAACGGAGTTTTTTTTGTATTCAAGACGTGTGTTGGGTCCGTTCGTTCTAGTATAAAATGTATACAGACAAATATAAATGTCCGGTGGAAGCAAAGTCTCTATACATAGAAATCACTGGTAATAAAATGTATTAACAATGAAAGGAAATAACTGATGGATTGTACATTACTCAAACTGTATAATTCCGAAGCTTTTCATTATACAGTTTTAAGACCTACTATTAATAATATTTTAACAACGCAAAGCTAAAAATAATTGTGTAATAATTTGAGCAATTACAAAAAATTGTTTTCTCTTAATTAGGAAAAAAATATATAAAAACAATGTTGACTTTCATGAAGTAAACAAAATAAGTCTTAAAATATTTAAGAGTAAAATTAAGTTTATGCTACAGACATTTTTCTGTGTCTGTTTTGATTTATCAAAGTCAGCATTTTGTGCCAAATTTTCGAGGGAATGAAGCCCTTAAAACGACATAATCAGTATATAAAAACTCTTGAACATTCGCATAGCAGAGCAAAAATTATTTATAGATCAAATAAATGTGTTAAGAATATAGTTGGTAACACTGTTGTCAAATTTTATAAAAGATCTCGTCCAATTGACTTGTATCCAGATGTAACAAAAAATATCCAAACACATTTAACTGAGTAGTATGCCATAATAAAAAAAAATATTCGGTAAGATCAAATTACTATTTCTATGAAGGTCTTAAGGTGAGATTCAGAAACTGGACATGTCAAAGTCCAATATATTTTTGACATCCGGGAGTCATACTTAAATGTATACCCTAAGACTAGACATTGTTAATAATTTGACCTTTAGACCTTTATACAGGGCGTCCCAAAGTTATGGGACATGAAGGGAAAGTAAAATGATTAATTTCACGCTGTTCCTTTCTTTTATAACTTTGTTACTTAAGAAGAGTTATTAGTTTTTGGCAATTTTTTTGATTGGCATCATAAAAGTAGGAGTGTTTTTTTACATTTAAGTCGGTTCGATTCCCAGACGAGGCAAGTAATTTTTAGAAAATCTTTGAATTCAAAATTACTAATTTTAAAAATAACATAAAGTCTTCTTTAATATTTAAGGTACTTTCCTTTCATGTCCCATAACTTTGGGACGCCCTGTATAAGTTGCAACGCATTAAAGACGCATATGCATCTTGAGTGCTGTCACTGTCAAACTTCATACAAAAAAATGGTTTGACAGCTCTTGAAACTAGATTCAAGTTTGACATTCTAATAGGGGCCTGAGTCTGTTTTTAATTTGTCAAAAAGTACAATTTGATCTAAAAAGATAATATTATACCAAGATAATACGGACAATTAAAATAGTCCTTTTTTGGAGATTTCCATTATGTACACCAAGATCTCTCGGATTTTTTAATAATACCATCGGTACTTAATTTAAAACGGACAATTTTTAAAGTCCGTTCTTGTAATACAGTACAATTTTTAATTTCTCAATTACCTAAAACGGTCAATTAGTCTTAAATCTCCGAATTATCTAAAGCCTTATTGTCGACGCCCCTCGCTGTGGTGACGGATGCTGCGTCTGTATCAAAACTCGCGTCATTATCGAACTCCACGACCCACGGTTGTCTCTCCGCCGAGCAGAAAATGTAGTAAACTATTGCACCGATTAGATAGATAGCGCTCGATATGAAAAAAACTATCCGCCATTGTTCTGCAGTCTGGAAATGTTGAAATTGGTCAATAGATGGCGTTAATAATTATTTTTATAGGCCATAGGTATGTTAAAATATTTTTAAATTTGGAACGCGTTTTAAATATTTTTATACCTCGTTATCAGTAAAATTAGTTTTGAATTTGGAACGCGTTAAAAAAAAATAAACATCGACTTACGTATTTTTATAGGCTATATTATTATCAGTAAAACTATTAATTTTGAATAATAAAATATGTACAGTAGTGAAACTAAGTCGCCAGCATTAAAAATTATAACTATTTATCTACGTGCCTATATTGCATTTCCCTTTAAATATTTAAATTACTACATACATCTAAACAGTCAGATTTCACACATATTACATATTTAGACCCGATTAAAATTTAATACGATAAGCAGCATATATTTGACAAAACTAACGAGGGGTAAGAATGATGTCAACATAAAAAAAACAGTTTTCTAAGCTGGAAACTACAGTAGTACAAAGTAAAAAAGTACAGTAGTAAAAAGATGACTGTACTAGCCGCTATTGTTTCGCAGCCTAAATAATTTAAATTGCTCAATAGATGGCGCTAAAATAAATATTTTTAAAACTTATATTAGGCGTTCAACATAATTTCTATGGAGTGGTGAACCCCCAATTACCTTATCAGTAACGATAGATCCGGCTAACGGGGGACTGACAATGCCGGGCAAAGTGGCGATTGTGTTCGAAAGTCCCATCAGCACACTCGCGTGGGGTGGCGCTATGTCCAAGTGATTTACGCTGAAAAATTAAATAATTGTAATTAGGAATATATATATACATAACGATATTACTAATATTAGTTATTAATTTAGTATATCTTCCGACTAGTCTTTAAAAATCGACTTGGTGTATTTTTGGAAAAAAAATATTTTTCAATAAATCATTATTTGCGTGAGACATAGTTGATATAAATTTAATAACGTATGATATGATATGTACGATACAAATAATATAAGAACTGACCAATTCATAGGACTAATAATGTAAAATATAAAATTTCCTTCAAAGACAAATTTGCGCGCCAATGTGTGGCAGAATATGCGAACTTATGATTGCACCACCTTACACACTTTTGTACCATATTCTTGCAATAAATTATTATTATTATTATGGCTGAGAAAAAGCCACGATGATCGCCAACCTTCGAAAGCAGATGGCACAAAAGAATAAAAAATAATATAGTTTTAATTAAGTAATGAAAAATATTTATTTGCAATTAATCATTTAAATACACATGATTTTTTATATTACGCGTAAGTTTGTAGTACCTTCTAGCCATGTAAAAAAAATTGACACCAAACATTATTAAAATATTGAAAAGTAATTTTACTATTTAAATATAATTTGTATAATATGATTTTACAAAATATATTTCATAAATTATGATTTTTTTTAATTAAAGTACATTATTAACTGCACTAATATATTTTTAATATTTTAATTTCAGTATTAAATATCCATTAATACAATTTAAAACATACAAATGTTATACTATATTTGTAAACCTACTGAAAATCGGAAGTAATTAATAATAATATAATAATAAAGTAAGTATTATTGTTTTTTTTAAATGGCAATTAAAAACAAAATTTAACTTTATAATATAAGTGAAATACCTAAACCCGGACCAGGCGAAGCCTCCAAGGCCCACAGCGATAGTGAGGCACACGATACATCCAAGAATATTCGTCGCATACGCAGCTGCCACCATGAATATCGTCTGGAAATAGTAGTAATAATATGAATAAATAGTTATAATAATATAAATAAATAGTTATACATAATAATATTAATAAATATTCCTAATAATGTAAATAAATCGTAATAATAAAATAAATAAATAATAATAATAATAGCAGCGTTAAAACCCTCAGTTTTGGCCTCAAAATTGTGCCTGACGTCATTTGAGGTAGGGTAAGATTCACGGTCGAAATTTGGTATTAAGAAGTCATTCTTCCTGTATGTCAAAATTACCTGAGCAAGAAAAGCCCCGCAATTGAAGAGTTTTCGTATATTGGTCCTCGACATGATGCGCATGCGCAGCAGCCAGTCCGCCATGTGGCCTGCCACTTGCAATACGATAGCCATCGCCAGGTAAGGCACCGCGGATAGCCACCCCGTCTGGGACGTCTCGAATTTGAAAACGTCTGCAACATTTAAGTATTTTTTTTAAAGTGGCCAAGTGCGAAACGGACTCTCCCATTAAGGGTTCCGCAGCATACAGATACTGGCAAACATCTTGAACAAATGTCCTTGCCTGTGCAGAAGCGAGTTTTAGGTATCACAGGTGCGCGGCGGGAGAGTGACGTGTTGATCGCGTGATTGGTAAATCAGTTGACGTTTCTGCGCCGCGATGCGCAAACTTTCCCTCACTCCCTTGTTTAATGCTCAAGAAGTTTGCCGGTATCTGTACATTAGATATATTGAGGAAATTGCCTTAGACCCGAAAGTCGACGGTGACACACGCCCAGGAGGCTGATCACCTACTTGCCTATTAGAATGACAAATGAGCATGAAAAAGATACAGAATCTGAGGTCCAGACCTAAAAAGGTTGTAGCGCCATATATAAATATGACAAATCTATAGTCTTCCAGCTCTTATGAGTTATACACCTAAACCTTTCTCAGGAAGCTTCATCAATAGGTAACAACCATAATATAAAAATCGGTTGAGTAGTTTATGAATTTATCACATAACACAGGCATTGAAACTATATATTATACCTTGATAAGGCAATAATAAACAATTACCTTGCATAAATGTCGGCAAAAACGTCAATAACGTATAAAATCCCCAATTCTCACTGAAATGGGCCATAACAATGGCCCAGACGGGGCCAGAGGTCAATATTTCACGCCACGGGTGTCGAATCTTGGACCCTTCCACCGCTTGGGTGCCGCGGGAATCCTGGAATTAGATTAAACAATGGTTTATTAAGTGGGAATAAAATTACCTTTGTTTGCTTGTTGCCGTGGTTACGTCAATTCCAAAATATATGTATTTGTAACCATGGCAACGCCTTATTTTATTTTATTACTAGCTGATCCGGCAAACGTTGTTTTGCCATGTATATTATTTCTAGGAAACAAGTTTTAGTTCAATAAAAATAACTATCTACAATAATAAAAAATAGGGGTTGATCGTAGGGGGGGTGGAAATTAGGATTCGTATGTATTTTTGTATGCTGCATCATAAAAAAATAAAAACAACAATTGTCTAAAAAATAAAAATTTAAATTTTGGGGTGGACACCCCTTATCACTTAGGGGTTTGAAAGATGGATAGTAGCCGACACTGTATAATGTATAATGCTTCATATCTCCTTTTCTCACACGTTAAATCTTATGAATTTATGCGTCTGTCGCTTTTTCCATTGCATCCGATTTGAAATCACAACGATACTAAAGAAGTTTCACTTCAAATAATCTAAGGAATTTTCATACCTGAATATATTTGAGTTCAGCGGCTGTGATGTGAGGATCCTTTTCCGGCGATTCTTTGACAACGAGCCACCAAATGGTGGTATACACCAGACCCATTATGCCTGGAATAATTTAAGTTTAAATATAATCAATAAAAAGAGAAAACAGACATTTTGAGCATGCTTTGAAATATTTCTGTATACATAAAATAATTATGCATTATATTATTATTATTATTATCAGTGGTGCAACAACCACTTTAGGTCTTGGCCACAGATTTCTGAATCTGTTTCATGATCATTTTTCAATCTAACAGGCAAGTAGGTGATCAGCCTCCAGTGCCTGATACACGCCGTCGACTTTTTGGGTCTAAGACATGTCGGTTTCCTCACGAGGTTTTCCTTCACCGTTCGAGCGAATGTTAAATGCGCACATAGAAAGAAAGTCCATTGGTGCACAGCCGGGGATCGAACCTACGACCTCAGGTATGAGAGTCGCACGTTGAAGCCACTAGGCCAACACTGCTCTATTATTTATTATTATTATACCCTGACGTTAAGTGATACCGCCGCCCATGGACATAGACACTCACATTGCCAGAGGGCTCGCAAGTGCGTTGCCAGTTTTTTAAAATTGGTACGCTCTTCTTGAAGGATCCTAAGTAGAATTGGTTTGGAAATATTTCAGTGGGCAGATTGGTTCACATAATGGCTAAATAAACGCTCAGTTGTGGAACGACGGACGTCGAGGTGATATGGAATTTCGTATTCTGCCTCGACGTCCGATGATGAAACTCTTAATTCTAATATAGTATAGTTATATCTTTTTCCTTCTATATATTCTTGTTCTTCTAAACATATATTACAAAAATAACCCCGCAACACATGGGCCATATATAGCATATAGCCAACAAAACATTGTAAATGTATTACAAAGAAATTGTCGAGAACGGCCTATCTCGGAACATAAATAATTATTTTTTTCTTAGACTAATTAGACTATTTTATATAATTCCTTACCGAAAACATAGAAGATTCCAGGCCATCCTGTATAGCGCGCTAGTAGAGAACAAATGGGCATAGACACAACCGTGCCGACGTAACTCCCGCTGAACGCAAACGTCGCGAGACGAGCGCGCTCGTCACTCGGCGCCCAACGGGACCATATCGCGTGGATACATGGGTATGTCACGCCCTGGAAATTCATGCAAATTAAAGGAATGTAGAGAAAGTATTTCCCCTTCAAAAATGCAGGCGTTTTTGAAGTTATACTTCTTTTAGCGCGTTAGGGAAAAATGATGAGAGTTAATTTTTATGATGCGCGCACACCGTCACAAAAAGTTTTTTCTATTGTTAGTGTCGTTTTTCCTACTTACGTAGAATAAGGCGAAAGATAATATTTTTGAAAAGATTTTTGTCTTGTTACGCCAAAGAAGTATAACTTCTAACGCGTGTACGTAAGTACACACACGTTTTTATAATGAAATTAGATTTTTTAGGTTGGATCCAACCAACTTATCAAACAGGCAATATAAGAAATTAAAAAAATTAAATGATCGTTATGTATTTAAAAATGAAACCGATTTGGCTAATTATGATCTTGAAATATTTGTGGAAGGTCAAAGAAGATTTAAACGGTAAGAAACATAAATAATTAGTAAAGGGAAATACTAAAAACGACAACTGAATTTTCCAAAAGAACTGTTCCTAGCTGGGAAATATTTGATGTCATACGAGTATATTTACAGCCTTCAGAAATTTGTTTAATAGCTGTATGAGGTCCGATCTCTTTGGTATCTTTTAAAAAAAATCCTACCTCAAACAATCCTTCAACGACTCTAACGGCGATGAGCAGAGCTGTACTCGTATGCGCGAGGGGCGGAGTGAATAAAGTCAGCAAAGACGTTGCGCCTACGCCGATCGCAAACATTCTGTAAAACCATATCAAAAGTATAAATGTGTGGCCGAATTCATTTTCTTTTTTATCAATCTTTGACACTGGTATATAGTTTTATCTATACTGTCGAAATTTAATATTTAAGTTATTTATTAAACTCCGGAGACTGGCAGCTAAATACAAAGAACGGTTAAGCTGTCACCCGAATGAACTTGCTCGCCAACTCACCATTAGACAGTATGTGAGTCGACTAAAACGTCACCATATTCTAGAGCTAGAAGACCGGCAGTAGCTCTAGACAGAAGATGAGTAGATGCTTCCAATGGGAAGTCACTCCACATGACAGCACCACAGAAAAAAATCGCTCATAGCCTTAGGGCTGATTGCAAATAACCGCAGAAAAAAAAAAATTAAACAACAGATATTTATGATTTAAGATTTAATATATGTATAAGAAAGATTTATACGTTTTGAAGGGAAACCAGAATGATCACCCGGCAACGGCCAAGCCGAGGTCCGAGTCTCGCAGGAGACCCTTGCGCTAGTAGGGCGATAAAAAAAACGGCCATTCCAGCCGAGCTACACTGGCAAAAATAGTCCGAGCTGAGCTGTTAAGGCCCCTTAAGTCCAACAGCGAGATGTCATACAAAACAATATATAAATATATATAAATTACGTGTCACGTTGTTTGTCCGCTATGGACTCCTAAACTACCGAACCGATATCAATCAAATTTGCACACCGTGTGCAGTTTGATCCAACTTAAAAGATAGGATAGCTTACATCTCAATTTATACCCGCAATATTATTTTATTGCAAAATATTTGTTTATTATTCGATAGTCACAATTCTAACAGATGGCGCTGTGTTGAAAGTACCAACGTTTCAAATAAGCTACAATTTAATGGCCAAAATTAAAATAACCAAAAAAGCATGGTGGTCCCCATGACTGTTGTTCTCCTACCGTTTCCCTTGAATAGGTTACTACTATATAATATAACTAAAACATTAGCCACAGCAACGCTTGGCCAGTCTGCTAGTATATACATATATATATATCGACGTAGGAAAGCATATTTGCTGTAAGTAGACATATTGCAATTGTTCACCAGAGCCAAAAAACTTAATTAATTTCGGAAAAAAATTAATAGTGTCGAACCTATCCATGATATTGTTACCATTTTTGAAACATATATTTATTTAACTGCCAGTCACCATTTGCAATGTAAACTTTTATCCAAAGTTACTATAAGTACGTGTTTGGCTAGTTACAGCATACAGTTTTTTAAATCACAAACCTTTAAAACGCTGTAACTAAGGAAGAAAAATGTACGCGCGGAAATATTATCAATTTACAGGCGGTAAATATGCTGTATGCAGTAAATTTATGTATTTGGGTACTTTCAATTGCAATTCAAAATGTAAGATGAGTTTATAATTATGATTAGATCTAGAAATGCAGTGGGTCATTTGGTAATGTAATGTTTGGTTGTAATAACATGTTGTAAATGGTAAAAAAAAAACTAAAACTGTAGGTTCCCTAAGCTTGCTGTAAGTAAACGAATGTAAAAATCACACGCCGCAGAAATGCTGTAAGTAGCGTTAAGTTTTTAAATGGGAAGAAGTAAGTATTTGTAAAGTAAAAAATGCAGATTTTCTTTTGCTGTAAGTACAAATTGTCTAAAATGACTGGATTTTGGTCTACATACAGCATTTAATCTTACTAAAAAAAATATAAGTACGGGCGTTTTCAACCGCGTATGTAATTTTTTTTCATCGTAGAGACACAGGACCCGGGACATTCGATGCGGTTTTTTTTTCTGATTCTAATGGCAGTAAAAAGTCACTTTAGGTATTTTGTCTACTTACAGCAAATATGCTTTCCTACGTCGATATATATATGTATAAATTTGTATCTGACCATGCGTGACCTACGCTAGCGTAGTCATCGCGTATTAAGCCGGCTCCTGTGGGGATTAGTTAATTAGTTTGTGAGTGCGTTGTCGATTTTGTTATAATGAAAGAAAACTAAATATTTTTGAGCCATTTCTTAGAAGATTAAAAAAGGAGGCATATTTAAATTAGTGCATTGTGTTTTAGTACAAGGAACGAACCTGTTACCTCCTATTTTAGCCGCGAGCCATCCTCCAGGCAGCTGCGTGACGATGTATCCATAGAAGAAGGAACTCAGTACTAGGCCCTTGGTTTGAGAGCTCCAGTCGAATTCTGGAGCCTGAAAAATCATTATTTTGCATTAGACGACCAAACTCTGACAATAGTGATTTAACTTTAATGTAGAATAACTAAGGGTAAAAATGATAAAATCATATCAAAATTTATGTACTCATAATTGTAACTAAATACTTTTTTTATAGAGCCCCCCCCCATAAAAAAGGTGGAATCATAATAAAGGTTCACACATTTACGACAGGAAAAAAATTATTAAATACGTATATTATAAGTAAGACTAATAATTTAATAAACTAATTCAATTTAATTAATGGGTGTGTATGTGGGGTGTGCTCATGATGCGCTTAGCGCTATAGATATTGTTAATACTTTTAAGCATATTCCACGATAGCTTAAACAAGTCAAGGCTTGAATTGTGGTCGTTGTATGTCTTACTACTGTATATTCTACAACAGTATATCAAAACTAATCTAAGAACTTCCCCGCAATATAACTGTCCCTTCACAAATCCTTGAAACTAAAGTAAAGTTCATGTTATGTTCAAGAACATTAAACCAGTAGTCTGCAAAACTCACATAAACAATAGTTCCATTATCCAGAACGTGCTCTATCGGCTCCGTCATGGCTACCACCGCAACAGAAAGGTTGACCCTCAAGGCGTACACGTTGAAGAATCCAAAGAACGCAAGCAGCGCCACCACAAGCCGCCGCTTCCTCCAAAACCGCCATGATGTCTCATTACTGTACTCTCGTAGTATTTCTCTGAAAAAAATTCAATTTAATAAATAAAAAAGTTTAAATTAGAATTTCCCGTTAAGTATTAGGCTTGTTCGAAAGAGGAGACGCCCACAAGGAGCTGAGAAGATGAAATAAAAGAGATAGCGGGGAAGGTTGGGAAATAGTAGCGAAGATAAGAGACAAATGAAATAATTTGGATGATTTTCACTCCGCTGGAGGTCAAGTACTAATATTAAATATAATAACATAAACTTAATGTAACCCTGATTATAGTACTCGAATACAGCCTATTTTATATTTATTACTAGGCTTTTTATGTAACTTAATCGATTTATATTTCATTAACAAGATATATTGTCTTTCGCCACATATGACAGTTTTACCGTAACAAAGCGCGGTAGTAGCGAAGAAGATAGAACAACGCGTCATGATCGTAGAACAATATCGGGTTAGAAAAAAATCCAAAATACACTTTTTATCATATTTGGATACTACATTCACTAAATATAACGGCTAAATTAAAAAAAAAACATGTGTTTTAAATTTCAAATTAATCAGTCGGTAAAGTAATGGATTTGATAGAAACATTAGATTTTTCAAGAAAACTGTGTAATTTTATGTTATTATTTTTATTTTATTTCATAACAAACCCTTTTGTTTGCTTGTATGCCAATTTTTTTTATTATATTATTTTGAAACGGCTGCCTTGTAAAGTTTACTAGAGTTAGGGTCTGTTTCACAATGTACGGATAAGTTATACATAAGTTCCAAATTAGCTATTTACTACTTATTGGTAGGATAAACACTATTGTTGCGTTTCACGACTGTCAGATAGCACAATTATCTTCAAAATAATTTATGTGTTGCATAGCTATTTGGTACTTTATCCATACATTGTGAAACAGACCCTTAGTATGACTTATGGTTTTAATTAATTTTTCCTTTATTTTATCCGATTCCTGTATCCGAGTTTTTTTGTTTTACTTGACAATATAAAATTTCGTATAATAATCCACCGGTACAAATATTTCCTCGATAATTTATAACCAACTCAAAAAGGAGTTTTTTATCAGATGTAATTGCATCATTACTGAGTATGATGATCAGTAGTCCCCTAACTACACGTCAACTTTACGTGTGTATGTCACTGAACTCCTCTTAACGTCTGGACCGATTTGAATGAATTTGTATGCGTTTGGTTGGTGCTCTGGATGGTTTAGATTCACAAATCAGCCCGGAAGATGGCGCTGCAGTCGGTATCTAGGTTATTTATTTATACTGCAACTATCAGCTGGATTTCAGGTACGAGTCTTGGATAGCTTAACTTAGCGCTTAGCGCGTAACAAAACGATCTGGGTTTGATTTCCATAACAATATTTGTCTTTTATTTCATACTTTGTTTAATATCCTGATCGCTTGAAATATCATGCAGGACAACGTCTGTCGGGTCCGCTAGAACACTGTATTTTTTGAAGGTCGGGAGTCAGATACCTATACTCTTTAAATTTCACCCTTAGCCTTTGCGCTTAGTATAACCGCAGCGTGACAAAAACTGACTGAATATTTGACTCCTAAACTTGCCAACACAATATTTTTCTACACCGTACCTACAGACGGTTAAGTTAGCTTACATCTACAGACTAAAATTTCTTTAGGTCGGTCACCGCGGCACGCGTTTCTGTAAGATCTCTTTAAAAATATTATTTACATATAAACGTCTAAATTGTAATATTAAAGATCACATTTAGTTTTGCATGAGGAAACACTTATCTATGTGGCTTGGAATTAAATAGAACCGTTTTCAGAGTTAGTGACATTTTGAGCTCCCCTGGGCATATCTGATTTACGACGACAAAGTTTCCAATTTCTGTAGGGAAATATATCATAACGGACCCCATAATCTTATTAAATTTCAAAAATTTTAACGATTATTTCGTTACCGTTATAAAGACTTGTTATAAAATGCTATGTATTTTTTCGTTTTGATCTCGTTCTAACATTTATCATAAATCCAAAAAGCTGTCGCAAACACAGATCACTCTTCTAATTAGAGAATTTCAACCACATCCCCAATCAGACACTAGTCTGAACTCTATACAGAAAAAGGAAATAGACGCCCTAAAGAATTCTGGTGCCGCTCAGTTGTGGCTGAAGCATTGGGTTGACGTGGTCTGAAGTTAAGTGTGTGGCTCAATAAAGAACGGGATGTGAACGCCCTCTGCCCCGCCCGATATATGACAAGCTGAGTAATTTGACTCAAACCACTAAACAATTTTTTAATACAAAATTCCAATATTGTGTTTTTTTATAACGGGCAAGAGGAAACGAATTTACGCTTTATTCAGTTGCAGTGTTCCGGAGTGAGAAACCAAGCTTCTTAGAGGCAAATTTAGCCTTCCCTTACCAATGACCACGAAACACTTTCGTTTGATACATCAACGCCTAGTATTCAGATGCTAGCTGAGGGTTAAAGGAGAGAAGAGTGGCGACAAAGGTGTTTTTTTACAGAAACGCGCAAACTTGTGTCTTCTTGAAGTTAAATTGGAATACATTTAGTCTACCCCAATCCGAGACACCACGTAGCAAAGATTCCACGTCGTCGACGATTTTAAAATCGTAAACTGCTTGTTTGCTTTGCAGCGAGCAAAAGAATAAAGCGGTGCCATTGAAATAGAAATTCCACCTATAAACCAATTTATTGTTACGTATATGAGCGTAATTTCACGGTAATCAGTCACGAATAAGCGTCGATATGGTAAATAGGTACAGATTGTGCAATGCAATTTGTATACAATACGCAATTCATGTCACAATTTGAGCAACTAGGAATGTAGTAGTTACAATTCACAGGAGAGAATGACATTTGTTTATTGGATCCAGTTGCGTATCTCTAGAAAGGCGGTGGTCCTAGACTTGATCCCGACAGAAGACCACGATAAATGTATGTATGTCTTCAGCATCGGTCGACCATGGTGTCGACAAAGCTAAAATCAAGTGTTGCAACCAAAGCTAAAACTAAATGAGTATCATAGTCTATGGATAGAGTAACTTGAAATTACGAACAAAACCTAATCATACTTGGGAATAAAAAAGATTTTATGCCCAGTGCTTAATTCAGCTAAACATCAGCTAGTTTTTCTAAACAAAACATACTTATTTTCACGAACAAAATGTTTCACAAACAAGCCGAGTCAGGAATATTTTAGTGTGCGTGCAAATTACGATGTAGGTTTACGATAATCTGGGGAATACATGAATAGTACCCAGATTTATGATCTGACTCATATGGTAATGCAAATATATAAGGCGTTTTAAATAAAAACTCGTTTATAATTAGTGTAAGAAACAAGTGAATGTGACTGACCCCCTGTCCACTGGGATTAGACTTCACAATATATCATCTTCTGTTCAGTCAATGTTCCCATACTCCTCCGAAACGGCTCGACCGATTCTTATGAATTTTTTTATGCATATTCAGTCTGAGCATCAGCTACTATCTATCGGCGTATATCTTTCAAACCCCTAAGTGATAAGGAGTGTCTGCTCAAAAAAAAAACTAAATATAATTTTTTTGTGTTTGTTTGTTTGTTTTTCTTTCTTTGATTTGGTATGTTTTAATATAATTGATGTGTATGTGTGTTAAATTTGTGATATCATGTTTTCTTGTATTTTTTTTAGGTATACACATTGTTTAAGAAAGTATAAATAAATACGAAATAAACATATACCCTATACAGCCAATGAAATCTTAGAACAGAGGTAGAAGAACTGGCAATAGTCCTATCGCTACTCTAGGCTATTTATAATAAATATTTGATATGTCATGTCTTGTAAGCAAGTATTTATTTCACATCACTTTGCAGTTAAACATCCTTCACGCTGTGCAACATGCTAATTTCCTATATATAATTCCTAATAATATACATATACTAACAATTAACGTTACAAACTCGCTAGTTGCACGTAAACCTTGTAAAATTATATACCTTTTTTTATAGAAAAGGGGGCGAACGAGCCTAAGCCAAACCTAAAATGGGCAGTCATTGAGCCCATGGACACCCAGGTTTAGTGGGTGTGTTGCTGGTTTTTGTGAAAGGTGTATACTCTTACTTTTCTTAAAGATCCCCACTGGGAGTCGATTCCACAGTTGGTTGGTTGTTCTCAAAAGAAAGTGTCTTGTGTATACCTAAACTTTTCCATTTTATTCGGGAGAAATAATAAATTATATGCAGTAATTATTGACTTTATCGCGAAAATACAGACGCTGAGGTAAACACGCTGGAAGAGTTGTTTTATATAATATAAGAGTAAGACATGTTCTCTTTTTGTAGGCTTTATCAAGCTCTACAAATTTTCTCTAGACCCCTATCATATATCTCTCATCGTTAGGCAGCGTTCGTAAGAAACCTTTTCCTTTGACAGTTTTTCTCCAACTGCAAATCCAACTACCACGATAGTCTTTTCATTTTCATATGATAGCTTATGACACACACAAATGGCTTTCTATTGGTAATAGAATTTTTATAATCGGTTTAGTAAAATCAGAGATTACCGCGAACTTCATCTCTTTATAAAATAGATGAAGTATTTTGTTTGCACTGCTTAAATATTGGATAACGTTTTTATAAAGGCAAGAAAGCGATATAGATAACACAAAAACGTCGAGACAGATTATGAAATTCCACCCGTATCACCACAATATCCGTTGTACCACCAAGCATTTATCAAGTCAATATGTGGAAACAGTAACACTAAAGTTCCGAACCAATTTGATTTAGGGTCCTTCAAGAAAAGAGCCTACCAATTAATTCATAATGCCGGAAACGAACTTGCATTGAGAATGTCCATGGGCGGCGGTATACCAAAACATCAGATGAGCCGTTTGCCTTCTGTTTACAAAAAAAAAAAATTAAACACACTTTGGGACCTGCTCGAACCAATGCGAGTTAAAGTCAAATGTAGAACCTTTGGCACACGAATCTTCTGATCTTCCATTGTACACGGCTTTACTAAACATAAGGCGAGCTCCTATTTGCCATACTTCTTCAGTCTTTTTTATATATAAACATTTCATTAATACAAAGGAAGACACTTTTATCTGTATGGGTTTCTTATGGTACCCAAAACCACAAATAAACTTTAATCTTGTTGGTTGCGCCGGATTCTTATTTTATAATAATGGTTGCTCAATATACCCATCCTAATAGTTCTTAGACACATATCTCATCACCCACCTATTTTATGTCCCAATCCTATGAAGGTACTAGTTCCGGAACGGGCTATAGGTGGCGCGCACGATGATGAGTCTCCAACAAGGATTAATTATTAATGACAATTTTGATGACCCGCGATATGGTTCGTTTGTACGCCACACGCTCGCACCGCTTTCTTTAAACATTTAATTTTTATTATAAACTTTTAACTATATTTAAATTCTCTTAAACTTTTAACTTGATTATACTTTTGTGAAAGTGATTGTTCATTGATGTACAATAAAGGAATTTAGTCACGAGGAGAAGCCACGAGAAGAAGCCACGAGGTTGAAGGTACTGTGCCGACATCCTTTCTTTCTTTTTTCCATTTTGTCCAAATATTGAGCAATCATATTAGGTATAAAGAAAATACAGTCCACAATATAAACAATTCTAATAATTAGTTTAATAGGTATAAAGTTTTATATAGTAACAACCCGCGCCGCCACTTGTATTACTTTGATAGTAAAATATAAACGACTGATTTAGGCTTGTTTATGAATAACGTAGGTCTTTATTACTCTAACGAAAATAATTTTATTATCCATTTGGTTCCCACATGACGAATAATACATTTATTAGGACAAGACAAAGCTCTAACCGAACCGACGATGTTGCCTTAATGAAAATGTTTATGTTAATATACCTTCAGCCATAAACCGCATATTTGTTTCAGTGTAATTAATTGGCAACATCTTCTACTTACCTGTTTCATCTGTATTTATAATTAGCCTTTTATTTTAAATACGTTCCATTTAAATACATTTATCTAATATATAAAATTCTCGTGTCACAATGTCCATTCCCACACCCCTCCGAAGCGGCTCGACCGATTCTTATGAAATTTATTATACATATTCAGTAAGTCTGAGAATCGGCTACTATCTTTCAAACCCCTAAGTGTTAAGTGGGTCCACCCCAAAAATTTTTTTTTATGATACAACATACAACCTTTAATTTTCATCTACCCTCTACGATAAACCCCTATTTTTTATTTGTTAGTTAAGAACTTATAACTTGAACTCTGAGGTTTATATAGAGAAAAATCACAGAAAAACCTAAAAAGTTTTCATTCTGGTAGACCGAACAGTCTTTGGGGTAGCATAGCAAAATTTTGCATGTTGGTATGTACTAAAAAGGTTAAGGAGAAACGAAGTTTGTGGGGGCAGCTAGTATACCTATAATATCATACTCCATTTCTGTATGCACATAGAGTCAAACAAAAAATATTGTACTAGCACAACATAGCTGAAACACAAATCAAACTGGTATAACGAGATATTTTTTGTAATATTTTGACGTTACTGTAACTGTTAACTACTAGAGCGATTACTCAAATAATTTCACCATTAGTATGCTACATTATCCCTGAACCGGGTAGTCGTTTATATTACGTATATATTAAGTTCATATACATATGTAGTTAAGAATGTCAATATTAATAAAAAATTGGGTGGCTATATTTCAATTTTCTACCAGTTCCAGGCGTAAGGAGGCGAGAAGAACTGCCATAACTCGCCAAGTTTTGGTTTACACGAAAAATTTATTACAACCATAATTTTACGCCATACTTTTTACAACCAATTGACTACAGTTTTACAAAATACATTCAACAACATCATAATGGCAACCACGTGATGGAAAAAGGAAAAGAGGAAGACAGAGCAAGAGATGGGCAGACAATATAAAGAGAATAGGAGGCACAACTTGGACAAGAAGAGCTATTATCAGAAAATAATGGAAACAGCTGGAAGAAGCATATGTGTCACAGGACACGCTGACTACCTATAACGGGTCAAGTGACGTATTAGATTAAGTTTTATTTATGTATTAGAATTAAGATTTATGTAACTTAAATAAGTGTTATTATATTGTACTGGGTGTCAGCAATAAAGGCTTAATAATAATAATAATACCAATTTCATTAATACCGCCTAATATGTCAAAAACAGTAGTTAAATTAATATAAATTTCACTTAATTACAATTAATTACCTACGTACATTAATCTACTGCTTTTATGCTTCCTAACATTCCTAAACCTGTCACATATCTCAAAACCTGGTGCAGATCTAAGGAAATTGTATTTGCCTTATCATACGCAAAATAGTGCCCTCACTCCTACTTCCAGTATATTTTTACAAACTCGGTATTTTGACAGTACCAAGTTTAAATATCCTTGAAGCAGTTCTGACTGTAAAAAGGAATCAAAAATTATTCAAAGCATTTAAAGAAACTTGCCAGTATATGCCGAGGGATCCATCACGTGGGGTCTGCTGCATATTGTACCACGATGTATTCAAAAAATTGTTACGCTATCAAACTATTTAAGCGTGTAAAGCTTTTAAGGGGAAGGTGATTAATTTTTAAAGGCAAGGTGCCTTTATAGCTTAGGCGAGTATTTATGCATATGTTCTAAATATAGGTTTGATAACAACTATAAATAACTTAACTTATAATTACGACATTATGTTAATGTTCTTATCATTATGATATGGCGGATTTTTATAATAAATCGATTTAAATGTACTTTCTTTGCAAATAAACGATTTATTATTATTATCTATACTAATATTATAAAGAGGAAAGGTTTGATTTTTTGTTTGTTTGAAATGAATAGGCTCCGAAACTAATGGACCGATTTCAAAAATTCTTTCACCGATGGCAAGCTACACTATTCCCGAGTGACATAGACTATGTTTCTAAAAAAAAATAGGGATGCTTACTAAAACTTGAATAATCTAACCCAAGGTGTAAAAAAATAAACAAAAAACTTTCTTCAATCGTGTGCGCTGCGAAAACTATTAATGATAGAACTAAATGATGTACTACAATTTTTTAGGACACATCACTATCTATAAAAATTGTCGCGACAGCATGTCTCTATCTTTTATAGTTACGTCACAATAAGCGTCCTTTTATTAATTTTTTTTTATTAAAATACCACCGCTAGAAAAGGCTCTTTATTCGTACCTAGGTATTTATCCTTATCAAAATAATTACCAACGTTTCACATAAGCTACAATTTAATGGCATAACCACCAAAAAAGCATGGTGGATTGGTGTTCTCCTGCCTTTTCTCTTGAATAGTTTACTACTATGTAATATAACAAAAATCTTAGCCACAGCAACGCTTGGCCGAGTCTACTAGTCAGCAATACTAGCAATACCTTTTTTGTCTGCAAATTTGATGTAGTTCTCATATTATCCGTAGCGCTGATGCAATCATGGGCATGGGCGAAGTAGGAGTTCTTAAGGACATCGGAAGTTACAGGAAGGCCTCAGGACCTTGACGGAGGTTAGTTCGCATACCTCAGCCAATAAGTATGTACATTGTACACAATATGTTACGAGATTATTATGAAATCACAATTTTTCATTTCGTAAGCTTATCAATAGTCAAAAGTCTAAAATAATTTATTAATGTAGGTAGCACAATATACACTTATGAACGTCAAAAAAAAGAAATATACGTTAAATGAAGAGAACGGAATAGAAGAACTGGCAATAAACCCTCCGCCACTCTTTTTAATCGCTGGAGCTGCAACCATTACACCATGTTCCACATGACATCTTAAGTAATAAACAATAATAAAATAAATTAAAAACAAAGATTTGTCCTGTATCAGCAGGAGGCATGGTGAAATAGGAGCACGCACTTACATTCTCGTGGGAACAACACGAGTCAAAATAACTAACATCACCGCATACACGAATTCAAGTACGACCAGTCACCACAAGTAGCACCCGTTCACGAGTATGACGCTTGGCCAGCCATCGGCCCCCTCTCTATATTTTAGGGAGAGAGACAACCCGACGCATGGACGCCGCCACAAGCAATGACATTTAAGCGAGCATGACGACCCTTGAAATGTGGACTTGGCTACAGAATGGAATGTTCATTGCTTCCAAGGTCCCACCGCTTACTTTACTAATACTCTGTAATTTAACCCGTCGGGAAACTGACATAGTACACCCAATATGACACGCATTCATAAACAGGAAATCAAAATTTTTTAATAATCAAGACTGTTTATTTATAGCATATTTTTAGTACTAAGTTTCAGTGTTCTTATATTTTGTTTAACAATGTAATCTGTGTTGGCTGTGTATATTGTCTAAGTGTTTTGTTTTTTATAAAATGTATATGTGTAGCTGTAAGATTACCCATTAATAATGCAACAATAAAATCAAAGTTCAATTAATTGAAGCGAATAAATTCACGGAAAATTTAAAACAATTTTGAACCACACGTCACCCCTACATGATCCAATATAATTTGAATAATGACACTTCGGCGCGTTAATTTAAATTTAACTATCTTAGTTATCCAGAAAGTTATTCTCGAGTAACTTGGTATAAGTTTAAAATTATTGCTGTTAAATTTGTATACTCAAGAATAGGGATCTTGTTTATGGAATAGGGAACTTATCAATAATAGAAAAGTGAATATTACGAAATCCAGAAATCTATCGGCGAGTGATTACTGTGTAAGATTCATACAATATAATAAATATATATAGCTTTTTTGCATTTTATTTATTTGTATAACTTGGCTTAGTCATAGGTTCGAACCCCGGTTGTGAACCAAAAGACTTTTCTATGTACGCATTTAACACTCGCTTGTACAGGGAAGTAAACCGACATGCCTTAGACCCAAAAAGGCGACATCGTGTGACATAGAAGGCTGCTCACCTTTACTACCAATCCCTGTAAGAGCGACTTGATCCCTTGGCGTAGAGATGTGGGGTCCCTCTTCATCTACTACCGCATTAACAACGGAGAGTGTTTGGATTAATACATGGAGCTGAATTTCATCATCG